GGGGTGCTGAGCCAGCCGCAACACCGCCGGCCACCCCGCGACTGGAGGCTGTTGCAGCCGCAGGACGCAGCCGGCCAGCACTATGCGTCCTGCAGGTCTCCTGCTGGTCTCCGAACGCAGCAGAGCCTCGTCTGGGGGCGAGCAGCAGCCCGGGGGAGGTTTATGGGCTCTGGCAGGCTGAGCCTGCTTCTGCTGAGCAGCCGAATGCCATCGTGAGGCTGTCTTTCTGCTAACTGGATGCACGCGTTAGTTACAGCCCAGCAGCAACATAGTCTGTGCTGAACTGGAGTAATTTAGATTTAGAAGGGCTAAAATTGTTACAGTTTAAAAAGATTAGACCTTGCGCTTTTTGGTGGCAGGGAAAAGTAAAATTAAAATTTTTTTTTTTTTTTTTTTTAATCTTTATGCACATCCCCACTGAGCAGATAATTGCAAGGTGGAGTTGCAACTTAGCATTCGGTTGTGAAAGGCTTTGCAAGGCACAGACCAGGGATGGCTCTGTAACGGGTCCTCCCTTCGGCGCCTGGCTCGAGAGCAGCCTTCTCGTGGTTGCGTTTTGTGGCTGCCATCCCAAACCCATTGGCACAATTGGCTTTTCGGCTGAGGGTGCGATGGGACAGAAAGCCCAAGGAGCTGTGCCAGGCCCTTGCTTTGCCTGGAAGTGAAGAGGCCTGGGGGGGGGGGAACGTGTGAGCGGAGCAGGGGAGCTCAACTGCTCCGGCACGCACATCTCCATGGCATGCCCTGCAAAGGCTAACGCTAGCTGGAGTATGACGTGCCAGTCTTGTGTCCTCCAGGGACTTTCAAGAATGTGAGCGGGACAAAAGCAAGTTTTACTTGCTGGAGCAGGTTTGGCAGAAGCTAATTTCAGGACTTTGGAGTCATCCCTTGGAATAAATCCATGTTACTGTATGATGCTGCTGACATTCCTCAGTGCTGTCACTAATAATAGATACAGAGCAATGCTAGGAAACTTGCTCTGCTGGGACACTTAGTGGTTTTGATAATTACTCTTTTCTGAGATTTTTTTTTTTTTAAGTGTCAATTTGCAGCCATTTAGTCTTCACAAGACATCCTCTGAGTCCCCTTACACATAAGCCATTGCCACAAGCAGCATGCGCTGGGACCGCATGTGTCCTGAATCATAGCCCCCCCTTCAGCCTTCCCAAGCGACATAAGCTGGCTGCGATTAGCGCCAGGCTGTTGCTGCACATCAGCTCCTGAGCCGGCCAAACAATGGCTAGTTTCCGGGCATGTTTGACTGGAATCAGTTAATGGGAAAACTAGATTTTTGGCAGCAAAGCTGCATATCAAAATGAAGTGCTCATCTAGTTTATGCCCTACTACGAGTCAAATTGCAGCGCTTCAGAGAGAGCTTTGCACAACCCTCCTCATGGACCTGGGTGGATTTAAAACCTGCTAAACGGCTAGGCAGCGTTTGCACTGCTGCCAGGCAGACCACCGCCGCGTTCAACCATCTCACACGCGACAGCTCTCACCGGGGTCTCTTGCTCAAAGCTGCTCAGAGAGGTTGCTTCTTTAAAAAAAAATAAAAAAAACAAAAAAAAACACCTATCAGGCTGCATGGCAAAGGACTAGTCTGTAGACTTCAAAAAGAAATGTGCCTAAAAACTTCCCAGGCTCATAAATCTGCCAACTTCAGCACGCTCCCTAAACTTTCCTGATTGACTTTCTTGGACTGTTAATTTCCTGTAAGTTACAACCTTTTTTTTTTTTTTTTAATTTCATCCTGGATTAAGTTTTAATGCTACAGCAAGGGAACACAGCCGGCAAGGGTGCATGCTGCAGAGGTGCCAGCTGTGAGCCATGACCTGCTGCAGAGGCTCATACTGGTCTCCCTCTGCCCCTGCCCCAGAGCCACGTCTCCAGGTGCCTAGCTTTTGGCTGCTACAAGGGCAATCAGATGGTGCAGCCATAGAAACAGCTTTGAAATGAAGCTAATGGGCTGTTTGTGTTCATCTTTTATTAATTACAGGCTGCTGAGTTTGAAGGGCGATATAGATTAATAGTGGCACGTGTGTTACTGATCTAGCTGGCCTGCATCTGCTCACCGTGGCCAGCCTTCCCAGCTCTGTGCCGCGAGGCCAAGGGTTAGACAAACTGCATTAAATAGCCCACGAGCGGCCAGAGGAGCAAAGCAACGCCACGGAGGTCTGCAGGTGGGTTAGGGGCTCTGCCAGGCTGCGTGGGGAGGAAGGAGGATGCATGGCGTGTAACGCTAAAACCCTCCCTTTCGCAAGCACTCACACGCTCCCAGCCGCTCCTCGAGGAAGGAGATCTGCTCGCTCAGGGAGTCGATTCTGTCCAGCTGCTGGAGGGAGTGGGACAGCCGGCTGATGGGGTCTGCGCCCACGTCGTCTGGCGCAGATGGCATGAGGTTATGGAAGGGGGCCAGCACCAGCTGGAGTTTCTGCAGGGGGCAAGAGGAGCTGTGAGCATGTCCTCGGCGGCCCACCCGGTGGGGCTCAGCGCGTCGCCCGCCGGGGC